TTCCTAAAAGTAAAAGCTACTTAATTAAAAAGTTTAGGAATGTTTGCATTTATTGCCACTCGAGAAAATAAAACTAGTCTCGGAGAAAATTTTACACCAAATTATGCTTTTATAATCCACAAGTAGGCTGGCTACTCGATAGATGTTTACAAAAGCGATATTTATCCTTAATTTCTTTTTGCGAGTGGCGGGCGTTGGTCTCCTCCACGCGGAAATCGACAAAGTCCACTCAGCCACGAGGTTGACGGCATCTGACCGCTTGTCACCCAAGTGATTATTTATCTTAACAACATGTAACACCTCTTTTTAAATCATTATATTTGAAGACCCCACTTCGAAAGGTCAGTTGACAAATTAATCCTCACAGTCCAAAAGTATTTTTTTTCTGATTATTGGGATGCTTATAATTATTTCAGTAGCAAAGCAGTCAGATTAAAAAAAATAGGTCAATTTTCCTTTTAGTAAATAATCAAAAACTTTATCGGGATATCATTACTCTAACTGCTTTTAAAGCACCACTTTTATGCGTCCCATTGCCATGGCATCATCACAAATTTTTTGTTTGTCGCAAGTGTGAATGTGTTTGCTCTTCGTTTATTAATTCACTGGTCATTACGTCCTGGCCGGAGCTTACAAAAAACGGTGCCTAATAGGAGACCTTTTTGTCCCTGGGAGTGACTTCCTACTCGCCCGATGGCACGAGTCTCTCCCGCCTGCTGTCGCCCCCAGAAGCCATCACTGGAGGAAAGTAAGTGCCATTAATTAGGGAGGAGAGCAGCTTTAACTCAACAGTGTTGCCAACACACGAGACTAAGATGTTAAATTGTCTTGTCGTCACGGTTTCTTTGCCGTACCAGTCATGGCAGGCTAAGCATTTGTCAGGGACGATGATCACTAGGGCTAATGGAGAGGCGGCCAGTCATTGCGCTTTCGGATGACAAGACACATTAATTTGCTTTAGGAAGTAAGGATTTAGTCCCCGACTGTCCGGCCGCTCTGCTGACTGTCTGCGTATTGTCCGATTATGCCTTTACCACCCATTTCTACAGTCTGCTGAAAGACGTACTACCTCCTTGGTCAAGTGGTGCACTTTCAGAGTGATTTTATCCAAGTTGCTCTCCTCCTTTTCACTTCATCACCGCTTAAACACTGCCACGACATTATCTTGGCCACATTCTCTAGGTAAAACCCATTTTAACCAAGAGAACTCTGTAAGAGGCACGCCAGTCGGCTCATTTGACCCCTGATATTATTCAAAGTGGGATGAATGAGATAGGTGGATGTGATCTAAGTTTGTCTGCCTCATGGGGCAAGTTGAAGCCTGGTCCAAAGCTCCCAGAACCCTCTCGTATGGCTACAGATGGTGCAATAGCAGAAGTTACCTCTAACAAAATAATGCAGCTGACCAATCACTCCAAAATAGACTTAACCTCTTGATAAAGAAGCAGGACCTGTTGCTACCAATTATCTCAACAGGATCTACCAAGTTGTGGAAACTACTAGACACATGCATCTCTTTTGGGAATTCGGCTTCAAAACCTATCAATTTCCATTCCAAAGGAGCTGGAACTGGTTAATCCGTTGAAAGAAAGTCCTGGCATAAAGTACTATTGGAAAGCCGTCCACTTTGGTCAAGATGGAAGTGAAGAGAA